TCACGGAAGAAAAAAATAATTAAATAAATCACTGGAGGCTCTTCATGCAAAGTCCTATATTTTGTTTACATCTTTAAATCAGAGTTCTATATACTGTTAAGTCAAGTTGAAAACAATACAGTACATACTCAGGCCATTCTTGGGAATGTCTGACTGCACTGAGGCTCATGAGGATAAGCAGTTGCCAGCAAAGGAACCCCAGAAGAGAGAGATTCCTCAGGACTCAGATGAGAAAGTGTCCTATACTCTATTTGGTATCCCAGTGTAGGGAGTTTTGGGTTTCAATTTATCACCTAGACTGTCAAAAAAAATCTGGAATTGTGTGTTTTGTATTATGTATATGTTAGTGTGTATGTCCTTCACTGAATGCTATTCACAGTATATCCAGTTACCTAAGCCTGGAAGAAGTCATCATTATCATATCCCTCTTCTCCAGCATTCTGTACATTATTAGTAAATCATGAAATTATAATGGCAAAATTGTCTAATTTTGTCCATGGTTTTCCATTTCTAACATAAACAATCTACTTCAAATTGTCTCCAGTCTATTATATCCACACCAGAAAGATTAAATACACATACACACACAGTTTCATGGCTTATGTCTTCCTAAAACCCTTCAGTAGCTCCTAATATAATCAGGAAAGTGAAAGTGAAGTTGCCCCCATCCTATATTTACCAGTACAATTTGTTGTGTATCAAATACCTGGCATTTTTTCTCAGTTTTATCATTATATAGTTAATTATTTTCTTACCTGGTTTTGTCTGCCTTCCCCCAATAGACCATGAATTTTGTGAAANAGTACAATTTGTTGTGTATCAAATACCTGGCATTTTTTCTCAGTTTTATCATTATATAGTTAATTATTTTCTTACCTGGTTTTGTCTGCCTTCCCCCAATAGACCATGAATTTTGTGAAAACAGGAGCCAAGTCTGCTCCTCTCAACATTATTTCTTACTTGCCTAATACAGCACCTGACTCATGCATATAGCCCACTGTCAGTAATTTTCAATACCTTTTAGTGAATCAATGAGTTGATCTAAGGCTGGAGGGATGGGGTTGTATCATTTTGTTCTGCAGCAGAAATGTAACCCAACTCAGAGTAGGACCCAAACATAAAATAGTAGATCTTGCTATCTGTTTTGGTAAAAAGATTTGATTTTGAAATTGAGGTTTGTATACAAACACACAAGCCAGAAGTTTGTCTCTTAATGGAGATTATCATCAACCTGGATACCCCAGACATTTTGATCAGAAGCATTTTGCTAATTCCAAATTCTCCTTTCCACTAAATGTCTAGGAAAGATGCTGCGTTCTTTAATGAGTAGAGTCTTAACAATATTTCTCCTTCAGTGTCCTTTATGTTTTCTTAGTCAATATATGTATACAACAGTAGAGGTGGCTATGTTGCTGACTGAGGATTAAACATTAGAATAAATTCTGAAAAATAAAGGATTTTTCAAAGGCAGCCATTAATGTTTTCTTAGTCAGTGGATAATGGCTTTTAGGTGCTAATTCTCTTTCATGAGCAAGCATATCTGCCATTACTGTCAAGGCGATTTATATATGCTTATTAAAGAAAGAATAGTCTCTTGAACATGGGCCATAATGATTTTTCTTGTAACTGGGCCATGGTTGCTCCAATACTGTTTTACTACTTTTTCATTATTTATGGTCTGCATACATATTCTTTTCCTTTGAGAAAAGAAAACAGACATTACATGTTATTTTTATCACTGAACTTCTCAGTTCTGCTGAACAATGTGCTTTCCTCTTTCAGAGCTGCCAATTTAGCGTAATATAAATTTCAAGTATTAGAAATATTTTTTTGAATATTCCCTTACTATCAGTTGGCTCATTCATGTAGCTTTTATGAAGAAACTTGATAGTTTCAGGATCTGGGTGGGTCCACCAGGTTAAGACTCAGATTTAATGAAAAAGATAAAATAATCAATACAAGGAAATGTAAAAGCCCAAGTCATTTATTTTTTACCTTTGCAGATTCTTCATTCTATATAGCTTATTAATTCAGTGTTACCGGCACCACTAGAGATTTATATTTGAAAGTGATTAAAGGCTAATTTTATTTGATACCAAAGAGGTAGTGCCATTCAGAGTAGTATCAAGGTCACTGAATATAAGAACTGAAGAAGGGGATAAAAATGGTGTCATAGCATAAATCACAGCAGGGTCCTCTATGACCCACCTCTCAGAGTAATGGAAATAAAAGCAAAAATAAACAAATGGGACCTAATTAAACTTAAAAGCTTTTGCACAATGAAGGAAACTATAAGCAAGGTGAAAAGATAGTCTTCAGAATGGGAGAAAATAATAGCAAANGGAATTTAGAAAGATGGTAATGATGACCCTATATTCGAGACAGCAAAAGAGACACAGAGATAAAGAGCAGACTTTTGGACTCTGTGGGAGAAGGCGAGAGTGGGATGATTTGAGAGAATAGCATTGAAACACGTGTACTACTGTATGTGAAATAGGTCGCCAGTCTGGGTTTGATGCATGATACAGGGTGCTCAGGGCTGGTGCACTGGGAAGACCCAGAGGGATGGGATGGGGAGGGAGGTGGGAGGGGGTTCAGGATGGGGAACACATGTACACCCATGGCTGATTCATGTCAATGTATGGCAAAACCACTACAATACTGTAAAGTAATTAGCCTCCAATTAAAATAATTTTAAAAATAAGGTCATAGGAGAAACCAGAATTTCTAAGGATTTAATAGTATTGTTGTTATCGAATTGTAGCTTGATTTGCTCACCACATGATAGGCCAATCATCAGGAGACAAGGTGCCGAGGCAAGGAATAGCAACTTGATTCAGAAAGCCAGACATCGGAGACAATGGCAGATCAGTGTCCTAGAGTCTTGTCGGGTCTGAATGCCAGTTTCTTAGTTTCTTTCACAGAATAGAGAGGGTGAGGAGGACGTACCTAAGTAAAGTAAAAAGGCCAAAATCCTTGCAAAATATCTCCTGGTTTGGCCAGCTTTGGGGAGGGGATGTGCTAATTATCCTCTTTTCTGCAGCCATTCACAGGTGGGCAGAGTCTGAATGTCTCCCTGTAAACCAAGCAAAGGCGCTTTAATCTTCAGGTGGAGAGGCAGGGTCCCCCCAAGCAGGACATTATGTGTGCTTACAGCTATAAATAGAAAGCATCCTTTTAGTGATTATAGTTACAAAAGCAACAAAATGCAAAGGTTGAAGTAAAAGAAACAGATCCAACAAAGAGACTTTGCTCTTTCCTGTTGCATTTTTGCATGGGATAGACAAGAAAGAGGCATCATGGGGAGGAGAGAGAAGAGGGAGCTATTTATAGTGGTAATTTTTGTCTTAAAAAAAAAAACACTTGCAGAGAAGGAATCAGAACAAACTAATAACTGAAAAAAAAAAAACCCACAGCAAATTAAGGGACGACAGGAACTGTTGTCAGGATCAAGGACTAGCAAAGAGGTCCAGGAATTAAGAAGAGCTAAATACCACTTGGGGGAGAGTTTTTAATACCAATGAGTTTACTAGTATCAAAATCAATTGAGTATGCCAGCAATTTTTATTGCACAACAAAAAGTATGCCTTTTATAATTTAATTACAGAGATTTCTTTTCAAATCTCACCTAGTATTTTATTGTCTTGACGAAAGAAATGGAAATCTGTCAAACTGGCCTAAGGAGGCCCAGGACGGGGGAATGTTCAATCTTCATTACACGTGGGAAGAAGGTTCAGTGCCTTTTCTCAGGTCTGAGACTGGGATCAGTTCTAATTCATATTTTCATTAATATCAGGGATGATGGGATAGGGTAAGCTCAATAAATTTTCCAATTATGCCAAATTGAGTAGTGAAGCTAACACCTGGAAGAACTTGATTGCAATTTAAATGACATTTTTGAGTTTCTAAAGAATCTGAATGACAGTTTAATTAGACAAGAACAAGATGCTGGTGACAAATTACTAGTGATTTACTAGTGATAAAGTAATTTATGCTGTGCTTTAGAAAACAAGTTTACGTCTTTGTTAATTTTGGTTTCAACCTTGATGTTAGGTATAGTTATCACTCTGGAGGTAAAGATAGGACTAGGTAAGATTTAATGGGGTTGGTACAGAAAGATGGTGGGATGAACAGGGATGGAGTTGAGTTGAAGAGTGAATCACTAAATAACTTGGCAACCAAGCTTCACATTATGGTGTTTAAGATTATACCTTCGGGTTATGTGGACTAATTTTACTGGTATTCTAAAAACTGGACATGCCTTGAATCAGTATGTTGTGCTCAATTTTGATATCTAAAACCTAAGCGCAAGGAAAATAGCAGACGTCCAGAAGAGATCAACAGAAATTCTGCTTGACTAGGAGAGTAGGTCTGGAAAGATTGGAAATTATTCAGCACCAAAAAGAGAAGGTGCAAGGCACATATTTAATTTCAAACACATTTTCATGGTTCATATTGGAAGAACAGTCAGCAGGTCTTCAATATTTCTGTTGCTGTTGGAAAATATACTGTTGCTTTTTTTTGTTTCTTTTTCTTGAAGTGCATTCTCAATAAAGACAAACATTACATCACCATGGAGCTGGGATGTATCACTTTCTGTTGGGATGATGTTGGACAATCATTGCCCCTAATCCTTCTCCCTCTCTCTTGCCCGCCCTCCCTCTCCCTCTTCCTTCCTTCCTTCCTTTTCCTTTCTCTTCTTCCTCACTTCTTTCTTCTACCTGTAAAAAATTCTACAACTTCAGTTAATCAGGATCAGTTTTGTTAAGACTAAAATTTGGGGCAGAGATTAAAACCTGAGCTAGGAAAGTTTTATTAATATTATTTGATTCAGTCTCACCCTGTAAGGTCATTTCTTTGTTTGTTTTTTAACATATATAACTGAATCTCAAGGAGGTATGTAGATCCTTGCATTTTAAAATGTGATATTGTTACAGAAGTCTAAAGCTGAAAGTGCCCTATGGATGCAGAAAATAGTAATAGACCATCTTTCCTTTTAGGTCAAATGGCAGGGGATCATACAAGGCTGGAGTTCCACAATATAGAGACTGGCATCATCACAGAACGCCGGTATCTGTCTTCTGTTCCCTCCAACTTCATTGGACACCTGCAGAGCCTGACATTTAATGGAATGGCATACATTGACTTATGTAAAAATGGTGACATAGATTATTGTGAGCTCAACGCCAGGTTTGGCTTCAGGAACATCATAGCAGACCCTGTCACCTTTAAGACCAAATCAAGCTATGTTGCCTTAGCTACATTGCAAGCCTACACGTCTATGCATCTTTTTTTCCAGTTCAAAACAACATCCCTAGATGGACTAATTCTGTATAACAGTGGAGATGGAAATGACTTTATTGTGGTTGAGTTAGTTAAAGGGTAAGTATAGGTCTGTTCAATGACAAATAATTAGAGCTTTGGGAAAATGAACCTCATTTTCCATAACTATACATTAAGCAGAAGAAGGAAGATGGTTTGCTAATAAAGCATTAGTTTAAATCCCTTTTTAGGTATCTTATAGTGTTAAGAGGGATTCAGTGCAGTTCTTTATACCTACATTTCCATACATAAAGTACAAATAATGTCAAGTTTTAATTTACTGTAGGCATTACATAGATCTTACTGTTCACGTATGCATTTCTTTACCATGTGCATGGTAATTCTACAAAAGAATTTCTACACACTTGTTGGCTAATTTGTGCTAAGTTAAATAGCTAATGCATGCATTCAGATTACTTCAAGTCCACAGTATTCCATTTAACTAAAGCTTAATTCTATGTCAGAGTTTCTTGAAGAATATAAAAAGATTTTTCTGACATTTTCTTGAAGCTTCCACTTCAGTGGATCTTCCTGACCCAAGGATCAAATCCAAGTCTCCTACATTGGTAGACAAGTTCTTTACCACTGAGCCACCAGGGAAGTCCATATACATACTATCACACACACTTCACATTCCACCAACTGCAAGGTGCACGGATGCACACGACCAACTGGGATACAAGTGAACACAGGAATTTAGCAGAAAACCACCAGGAAGTTTCCTAAGATGGTCTTGTGTAAAGGATCAGGAGAGTCAGGGAAGGTTGTGCACTCAGGGAAATTAGGAAGATGTATGAATCCAGGTGAAAGAAGCTGAGGATTGCCAGTTCAGTGTGGTTGGCAGAGAATGGAGAAAGTGGTGAGAGCAGAGAGTGTGTAGTGATAGATATTTACTTTCCACAGTGATGAAGTGGAATGTGGACCACAATTTTAGAAGTATGTTCACTATTTCCTGTATTGACAATAAAGAATCCTCCTTCCTAAAACAGAGTAGTGTTTCCTACATGTTTCTGTACAACTCACTCTCATGATTTTTAGCAAAGATGCAACCACCTGAAAAAGAGATCTCATATTTATAATATGTAGTTTAACTCCATCAAAAAATTCAGTGATGATATTTTCTTACCTCCCCTTTTTTCCCAGGTACTTACATTATGTGTTTGATTTGGGAAATGGTGCTAACCTCATCAAAGGGAGCTCAAATAAACCTCTTAATGACAATCAGTGGCACAACGTGATGATATCAAGGGACACCAGCAACCTCCACACTGTAAAGATCGACACGAAAATCACAACGCAAATCACGGCAGGAGCCAGGAACTTGGACCTGAAGAGTAAGTGTGCGAAGGCAGAGCTGCAGGCAGGAACACACGTGGCTGTGTACATGTGGCACGTCCTTGGCTTTGGGGCGTGTGTGTGTGTGTGTGTGTTTGTGTGTGTGTGTGCCTTCTGCAGAGACTGACCAGAATTTCATCTCTAGCATGTAGTTAATAATACAGAACATGAGGGTATGTTCCTTCTTTTATATGGCAGAAACATATGTATTTTTAATAGCAGCTCAAAAAATACAGCACCTAAGAATGCATGCATGATTAAAAATTAAAGAGTGAGAAAAATGTATTCTTAGTCATGTTATTATAAAGAAAAGTAGGTGTTTGCAACACCTTTTAGTCCCAACAGCTTTTAATCAATCTGGAGTCAAATTAACCAGATACCTAATGAGTTTCTTCTAGAGCTTATTAGTTTTCTTTTCTTGGTGAGGTTTCCTAGATACATATGGAGCCTCTGACCAGCAGGGGTCTGAGGCTGGCTTGTATCCTGTGATGGTGAATCTGCCCAACCCACATACACCAATGCAAATATTCTTTCACCAGCTGCTAAGAAAGTCTTAACAGACTTTTTTCCTTCCTTATTGATGCTTGATTACTCAAGTGAGCAAGACAAAATGCTTAGAAAACTTGTCAGTAATAGGAGAAAATAACAGAAGTTTCTATTTGAATGGGACTTTGATTCACTCAGAGCATATGCATAGGTTCTATCTCATTTACCATGACAGCAAGCATTAGACAAGAGGTTATTAGCACTTTAATATGATTGCAGGAAATTTGAGCTTTGAATGACTTGCCCAGGGTTAAAACAATTCACTCAGAGCATATGCATAGATTCTATCTCATCTACCATGACAGCAAGCATTAGACAAGAGGTTATTAGCACTTTAATATGATTGCAGGAAATTTGAGCTTTGAATGACTTGCCCAGGGTTAAAACAACTGCTTCAGCAGACCACAACAGAACCTCAGTTCTGACACACGCCCCCTCCATGGCGCCTTCTCTTCTGTCCTGATATATTCCAAAGCCCCGTGGGAATCATCATGGTCACATGTTTGCCTGGCAAGAGCTGTTCATTTATATTGATAAGATCTTTCCCTTTGATTTGAAAGAAAAATACATAGGGGAGTTGGGAATTGCAAACAGAAAATCTTTCTAGAGAAAAAATATTCTTTCTAAGCAGGGTGAAAGAAGAAAGAAAAGGATTTCACTTTCTGTAATTGCAGAATATATTTACAATCTCTGTACTTTATTTGTCTAACACATAAAGTATGTGGTGATGGCTGTAACCTTTCTCTCAGAGTCAGCCTCTTGTTAACTTCAAAGAGAGCCTGTTTATGCCCACAAAGCTAATAGCTTAGCTCAAAAAGTGAAATGCAGCTGAAAGGACATGCGATTTTACAGGCTGACCCTGTTTCTTCTCCCCGCCTGGAGTGAAGAGAGGGCCTTTTCCGTCCCTATCTCGTGGGGGCCCCAGTTCTCACAGCAGCTCAGATGGTAATTGTCAAGGAAAAGGGAGAGATTGTGACAGTCAGTGTGCTGGCTGTGTCAGACACCAAAGCGAAGGCAAAACAGGGTTCCGTTTGTGTAGGAAGAGACCTCGGTAAGCATAAGTGAGCTTCCCTGGAAGCTGTGGACGCCAGGTGGGAGGCTAAAATGGCTGGGAAGAAGCAGCTCACGGGTGAAGTCCGTGACATGTGCAGGACTGCGCAGACCGAACAGAGAGGCATGCCAGGCAGTGGGTGTTTTATAGGACAAGTAGGACGCTGTCTCCTGAGGAATAAATATTTGCTTATTGTTCCTTAAAAAATCAGAGGGAGGGTAATTGGATGACATCGTATGGGATTCTTTCTAGTGGTGGACTTTTACAAGCCTAAGAAACCCTCAGGGCTGATTTTTATTAAAACATGGAGTCTTTCTTGATTCTGAATATAAGAAAGGCTTTATCTGTAATAAAAATGAAAACTATGAATTGAAAATAATATTTTATATAATATGAAGGTGCTAACTGTTGACTTCTGACTGAGTGCCTTTTGTTTAAAAAATAACACTCTTTACATTTGAGATAAATTTCTCAGGTGGACAAAGAAATTCTATCCTAATGATTATGCCCTCCTTTACGTTGTGAAATTCCTCTGTGTTTAGACTTACCAGAGCGTGCCAGAAAGTGAAAGCCAGTTTCTAAAATTAAAACTTGGACACCAAAAGGCAAAGCTGTGGACCTGCAGTTGGCTGTGTGATCCAGTGGCAACGATAAAGCCCCCTTGCCTTCTGTGTCCCCAGCAAGGGGGAACGGGAGGAGAACCTGTGGTCCTGACATCTCCCAGCTTCTGCAAGCACAGCATTTTGGTGTGTGCAGCCAGGCCCTGGTCAGATGAGGGGTGGTAACTAAGTTTATTTTGTGCTGCATGTGGAGAGCATGGCAGAGAAAAGGGCAATAGGGTTCCTGTCACAAAGAGCTTTCTGTTCCCAGAAGGCTGACACTAAGCGAACATTTACAGGACAGAGAACAGGATTCCTTGGAGCCACATCAGGACTCCGAACGGTAATCAGGCATCACCAAGTGGAGTATGAGAGGAGGGAAGTTCTCGGAGAGACCCTGGAGGATGAGCAAAGAGGCCTTGGATGCCCTTCCCACCTGGATGCCCCCTGGAATTAGGAGGCCTCAATAAGAAAGGAGAACATCCACAGGCACTCTTCACTCTGATTTTTTCCCTTTTTGGGGGGGGGGGGTGGATCTAGTCGCTCTACAATGTCGTGTTTGTGCTGTACAACGAAGTGAATCAGCTATACGTATACATATGGCCCCTCCTCTTTGACCTCCCTCACCCCACCCCGCATGCCATTCCTCTGAGTCAAAACAGAACACCAAGCTGAGCTCTCTGCTACACCACGGGTTCCCACCATCCATCTATTTTACACATGGCCATGCACATTCGTCAACCCCAGTCCCCCAGTTCACTCCCCCTCCATCCACACATCGGGTCTCTATATCCGAGTCTCTATTCCTGCCCTGCAAATAGGTTCATCTGTACTATTTTTCTAGATTCCACAATATAGGCATTAGCATACTATATTTGTTTTTCTTTTTCTGACTTATTTCACTCTGAATGACAGACTCTAGATACATCCGTGTCAGTACAAATGACCCAATTTCATTCCTTTTTAACAGCAGTGTTTCCTTTGCACGCTAGCTAGTCACATAGGATTCAGCCACTCTAAATGCAAGAACAATGAAAGGTGACTGACTTTAGATAATGATTTTATTTTGTACTTTTTTTTGCCCTTTTAGAATTAAAAGAAAGTGATCAGGTTTAGTCTACATTCTGTATACAGTCATTGCCACAATTTTTAGTTCCTCTCAGAGTGAGGTCTCCCTGATTAAAAACATCAGTTATGTGGTGGGGTCCTTGGTCTTCATATTTCTGCACCTTTCTCAGACAGACTGAAGCAACGATCTTTTGAGAATGATGTACAGGGAAGGCCAGCTGTCTGCACTTTTAAAGTGAAAGTATTACTAGTTCAGACCTGTCTGGCTCTTTGCGACCCCATGGACTGGGGCCCACCAGGCTCCTCTGTCCATGGACTTCTTCAGACAAGTCGCCTGTGACCTTGTTCAGATTGTCTTTCATGACACTGCCACGTTCTCAGGGGGTTGCGTGTCTCTCCCCGCTGACACGGTTTTGCTTTCATCTTTATTTCCCAGCTGTTTGTGTCCCATTCTCTCTCGCCTTTATATACAAGCTCTTGCTATGGAAAGAGCAGCAGAAACTTGCTCCTTGCAGTGATTGCCTAACACAGCCGTACCTACTTGCATTGTGGAACTTCTGAGCCCTGCCCCCTTTAGAAAGAGAAAGGGTTGGCTTAACTCCTCCTGCTGTCCCTTCCCTTGTTCCTGTATTTGGCACATCTTTGCTTGCCTGTGTATGTACATGGGAAGGAGCTCCTATATATTGACTCCCTACTAAACACTAAATGGATTTTATTATTATTTTTTCTATTTTACACAGTCTCTGACATTATAAAATACGGTTTAGGAAACTACTTATTATTTAAACTTAATTTTTTACATTAAAAAAAAAGATTTAAGTGAAGTTATTTTACTTACTCCTTGCAATTGATTACCCAGGGATTTGAATTGAGGTCAGTCTTGCTCATTCATTAATCTAGTTCAAGACCAGAGATGGAGGGAGGGGTCATCTTTGCCTCCTCCCCAAGCCCCAGTGTTCGTTGGGTCCATGGGCCCCCTTCCTTAAGGCATTACTTAGTTTATCCTTCAGCAAATTGAGGAAAATTTCCTTCATGAGGAGAAATGAAATGATTCCTAGGTGCAGAGGATACAGTGCCCTCAGGTGGCCACTTAGCAAAATTACATAAAAGGGAGTAATTGGCTTACAGGGCAGCTGTAGGTCAGCTCAGACAGAGCGTGGCGCTTTATTCCCTCTCATAGCCCACGTTCCTTGCCCCCATGGGCCCTGAGCGAGCGTCCCCTCTGCCTCCCATCTCGCCTCTTCCCTTGTCACCACCGTGAGCCGTGTCTGCCTGCTAACCTCCCTCGTAGCCCTCCTTACACCTACCTTGAAAAGCAAACACCTGCGATTGTTTATCAGCTTCTAAGCCGCTAAGAGCTCCCCTAGGCAGAGACAACCCCACCAGGGCTTTCCTTACAAATAGGTCCAGTCTCTAAGCAGAGATTTGAAGATGAATAGCATTCTTGCTCTTTTCATCTTGATCTCATATCAGCCTCTATTGCTCAGCTACCTACCCGTATAGACCACATAGCCCCCCCCTCTCTCTCTCCTGTGTTTTTGACAGATCATTACTGTACAACATCAGTGATCCAGATTCTATTCCAAAGCTCTGATCATGTTTAAATGCACCCTGACTTTGTCTACTCAGCCAAGTGACATCTGATAGCCTGCTTGCCTTGCCCAGATAGTTTACACAAATACAAAACTTTCGGAGTCTGACTTTGAACTTAGCCTTAAAGCAGGAGATGGCATTA